TACTATTTATTGTACATATTATACCAACATTTTAAAAAATTCTTCTAAGTGTAAAAATGAAAACAAACCTGGTAGGTGAAGTTATATTTCTCACCAAGGATGGGACTTCTAAGAGAACAGATGCTATGGCAATCTCCCCTCTAAGCTCTTTAATAGATATTAAACTGCCTAACTTAGAAGGCACACATTTAAAGAAAGTTAATGCCCACAGCGCACCACCGGCGTGTTACCAGAGTAGGGGTTGTTCTCTACAGCTGCTTCATACACTTGGCAGACAACCTACACTGTTCATTTTAAGAATGCCAAATGTTAAAGTTAATTTCATGTTTTATAGTTTGTTTCCAGGGAACAAATAGGGCCATTTCATCTAGTTCAAACACATTTAACTTGAAGGACCTGTTAATTCTGGCATTCCAAATATAAGGCAAGATGCAGCATGTCAAAGTCAAAGACAACAGATGCACCCTCCTGATCAACTCAACTACGACAGCAGGTAGAGGAACGCAAGACGAGTGACGGGCAGGCCTCAATCTTTGTAAGGCTGAACGTGCTATAGAAAGATTTGCGTGAAAACTTTCAGTCATAAAAACCTTCTTATATTTTGCTATAAAGGCATTGAAAATGAACTTGAAACCGTTAAAGTTCATTATCAACGAAGATTTATTTTTGAACTCTATTATGTTCGTTAATTAGTTTGTCTATTTTGGTTACTATTGCTTCATAGTAAGCCTTGAAATTAGGCAGTTTGAGTCTTCAGCATTTGCTTTTTTCTTTTCAAAGATGTTTTGGTTACTTTTCATTCCAATAAACTTCTGTATAAATTTTAGGATGGTCTCACTTTGTGCAGAGTGACTGCCCGTTGGGACTATGTTTACTATCAATTTAAAGAAAACTGTCATCCCTTTAGTAAGAAGCCTTTTCACCAGGAACAAACAGAGCTCTCCGTTTATTTTGGTCTCTAATTTCATTAGGTAGGTCTTCACTTATTTTTCTTCAGGTTTATTTATAATTTAATTCCTCAGATTTATTTTCCTCCTATTTATTAATAATTTTTTCATTTTCAATTTTCATATTTTAATTTTTACCTTTTGACAGAATGGTTAACTGAAATTTCAATTTCCAACTGCTGCTATATAGACATACTATTGTTTTTTGCATATCAGTGTGCGGGAGATATAGAAGAAATTTTGACTCTTTAAAAAAATATTTATATATTTCCCTGCCCATATAGTTCTACTTCCCAATTACTGAATAAGATCAAATAAGAAACCAGGTATAGTGGTACAATCTTTTAATCCCAACACTCAGGGGGCAGAAGCCGCTCAATGAGGCCAAAGTATTCTACAAAGAGTTCCAGAGCAGCCAGGGCAACACAGGGAAACCCTGTTTCAAAAAAAAAATTAAAAAATTAAAAAAAATAAAAATAAAAAATAAAAAAACAAAAGTCAAATAATTTCAAAAATCCTATTTTTATCTACTTTTATCTCAAATATTTAGAATATCCATGCATTAAAAAAGTCCATTACACACAAACAAAACAATAATAACAATAAAGACAGACCAAGAAGCATATAATGAGGAAGATATAATTTGTTAAGACCCCAAATGAAATTCCTCCAGAAATTTCATTTCAATTATCACATTCAAGTTAAAGACTAACAAACTCATTCTGGCAAAAATGTAAAACTATGTTCCCTGCTACTTACTATCAAAGTTGCAGCGTGAGCAGGTGAAGACAGAGGAGGAAACACACTGCAGCAAACCACAAAGCAAGGGTCACAGGATTACAATGGTCAGGACGGAGTAGGGAGCATGGTCAGAGCGGATTAGGGAGGACTGGCAGCAAGGGTCAAGGCGGATTAGGGAGGACTGGCAGCAATGGTCAGGGTGAATTAGGGAGGACTGGCGGCAATGGTCAGGGGATTATGGAGGACAGGTAGCAATGGTGAGGGCAGATTAGGGAGGACGGGTGGCAACGATCAGGGGATTAGGGAGGACTGGAAGCAATGGTGAGGGCGATTAGGAAGGATTGAGTGCAGAGTAGTTAAGAGGAAAGCTCCAGGCCATCGATAGCACCCACTCTCCATAGAAATTATTACAGTTCTCCTACTCAAAGTAAAAGAATTACAAACCATCTTTAAATCAATCATTAACAGATCTGAGTTACAGCCTCGAGACCGAGCCTTCATGTTCTTTTCAAGTCATCACAGAATAACTACGAAGCCAGACCATATGTGCAACGACAGGTAATCCTCAAAACTGTGATCAGTAATCATGGGGGGCGGGTATACTCAGGACACAGCAAAGGACAACTACCACCATCACTGCCAGGTTAGTGACTATCAGGGTTCCTAGTTTCCTTTCTCCCAAGGAGGAGAAAACAACTTCAAAGGCCAAGGAGGTACCTTCCAATGAGGCCATGTTTCAGCATCATTATCCTATGAATAATAGGAATAAAGAGCTCACTCAGTTTTAAAAACTGCTACAAGCTTTAAATTGCGAGAAGGCTGGAAAGGAAGCACTGGGCTATTTTCTTGCCCAGCAATCTCCCAGGAGTGCGGCTTCCACCTTGATCACACAAATTCTAGCTGTATGCACATACATTGACAGGACACAAGGGCAACAGAAGGCTCAAGACAGCAGTGGGAAAGCCACGAACAAGAACAGATAAAGGTTTATACAAACAACACAGACAGATGAAGATGGCCAAGATGCAAATACACATTTCAGAAAAATAAACTATTCAGAAAAATAAAATAAGCTACGCATTCTATCTGCTTTCCCCCTAATGTCTCAAGGTTACTCATAAACGTATCTAAAGCATCAAGACAGCCACAATCTGTCTCCGACTAATCAACTAGCGACCAGTTCATCTGCTGTGTCAGAGGCAGGGGAAAAACTCATAGGAATATGGCCATGCATTATCAAATGTAAAGATTTCCTGTAAAACAAACAAACCCTTGCTTTTTCCTAACAAATGGAAATGGCCGACTGGCAATCATAATGACTGGTGATTTCCCAACTGTCAAATAAGTCAAATTTAATTTGTTCTTATTATTGATATTATTCTGCTAGCTACTTAGACTGAAGGCATCTAGCAAGCGACTCCCACTGAACAGTGTATGACACACACACAGCTGCCTCACAGTGAATTTTACAACATAGCTCATGTGTCTTTACTGTAAAGTGCCAATGTATTAGGCAACAACACCGCTGAATGACGAGGGCTGTAAATACAGCTTGCAGTCTCTAGCAGCACTATGAGAGGTAAAGAGGGAAAAGCCCTCAGGGTACTGAGAGAGGCGAGATGCTTCCCATGCTGTGAGTCACTGCAGTTGGTGCAATGAAGAGCGGCTCTCACTCCCTCGGCTGAACATCTGCAGTGCGCGCTGTCTCTGTCATCCTTCTGGTACACTTCTGGAAGTCCTCTGATCCGAATCAATGCCCAAAGGGCTGCAATGACACCTTCCATCCATTGGCCCCTCCCACAGCATCTCACAAGGAGATGTTTCTTACCATAACTGAATATTGTTAATTGCCAATTGCGTATGACACCTTTGAAGTGTGGCTATGCAATCTATACTTTGGCTATATACTGCCACACTTTGGACTACCTATTAAGTCTGAATTTTCTGAGAAAGTTGAGTGCTTATTTAAAATAAACAAGATTTTGTAACTGATTTTAGGTGAAAATTATTTTGTTATCTGGACTAGTCACAGCTATAAACTGAGGTCTTCATACATCTCAGTAACAATCTTTCAAGCCCGGGAAACAAGAAGCCCCCTGGTAACAAGCAGTCGTTCTCAGTACCTGGGCCCTGGTACTTTTTGTTCAAGTTCCTCCTCGGACTCAAAATCAGCAGTGTCAGCAACCAAGCTCCAGCCAACGTTCGAGCCCTGGTCTCCCTTTCCTCCCATTTGCTCTAGACTTTGCCCTCCTGTGCTCTTCCCTAACCCGCCTCTAAGGTTCTCGCATTTCCCAAACCGCAGTGTGCATCATAACGTCCTCGAGGACAAGCTTCTGGGATCCTGAGTGGCTCTACCTCTGGAGTCTGTGGTGTGGGCATGATCATTTGCATTCTGAAAGGTCTCAGTGAGGCTCTGCCATTGGTCCAGAGCCCACACTGGGAAGACTATTTACTCATTGGCTTTTTTCTTTTTCTCTTAAGACAGGGTTTCTCTGTGTAGCCCTGGCTGAGACCTAGAACTCACAGAGATCCGCCTGACTCTGCCGCCCGAGTGCTGAGACTAAAGGCGTGCACCACCACATGTAGGCACCAAACCAAAGTTTTAAAGACTGGTTCTTCCATTAGATAAAGTCTTTGTCCACACAGGTGGTATCCACGTGACATGAACAACACCACAGCAAATAGTTTTGAACAACCAAAGTCCTACTAACTTCCAGCTCCCAGATGCAAGTCAACCACTTACAAGAGAAATACCAGACTCCTTATTCAGTCCGCACTGCCTCAGTGCAGCAGCAGGAACGCAGCCCCTGCTCGCTCAGTCAGGAGTGTTTTCTCGCTCCTTCCTCTCACAAGACCAACTCCCACTTTTCTTTGAGGCATGAGCTCTGGGGAAACTTAATGCATGGAAGCCTTCTTCTCTTTCTTTCTCCCCAGGCAGATCTTCCTCCTGGGTGATCTTACAGAGCCACTGAAGGCCCTGGCTTTGTGACCCTTGTCACAGTTACATTTGCTTATATCAGGCTTTTATTAATAGTTACATTCTACACTGGAACATGAGCTTCCAGCAAACAGGAAGTGTTTTCGAGAATCACTCTGCTTCCAGTGGCTGTTGCTGTGGCCAGCATATGCAGTGTGTTCAAATTAATACAAGCAAACTGGACTTTACCAGTCCTGAGATGTCTAAGATGAAGTATTTTTTTCTTTCTACACTCAACCAAAACCAGGATTACTGAAATAGAAACTAATTCACTACTGGCTACCTGTTTTTCAACTACTCAACCTGCAAAATACAATGTTTAAGATATGACTTACCTCTTCTGAATAGTTCTTGGAGACTTTCAGCACTTTGATTTAATACAGCCCATATCTCTTCCTCTTGCAGTGGTCCACCCCGAACCTCCAGAGCCTCTGCTAGTGACACATGCATGTTACCTAGGAAACAGATGAGAAAGCATCTGCGTGAGCAACGTAAGTGCCCTTTCATCAGTGAAAGCCTTGTACCAGGGGCGAGCTATACACTCCCATCCACCCAAGCTTCCAGTGTGGCCTTCCATCTAAATACGCCTTACAGAGTAAAACCTGGAAAAAGTGAAGAGACCGGAAGAAAGACCCTCAAAACAGCTTCTTGGTCTGCCTAACAGTGCTAACTGCAAGGCTCCTGGGAAGAGTGGGGGTGACTACTTCATGAGAGAAGACAGAAAGCCCGGGGGACTAGGTAGTCACCAAGCTACAGATGAGGAAGCAAATAGTTCAAGGCTTTTTGGTGTTCAGCTCCAAGCTTCATCTCAAACGTAAAAAGGAATCGAGAGAAGACCCCACAGCCATCAGAAGAGGATGTTGGGAGTATGAGGAAACGCATCCCTGTGCTCAGTAACCGATTTCTATATTCTCTGATTTATATGTTATTATGAAACTTTACATTGAAGGAATGAACTATTCCTAAACTAACAAGGCTGCAAATTCCCGACTTGCTCTAGGAAAGTCATTTCCCCTCAGCGGCTTGGGAACAACAATAATGGTGAAGTCATTAGGTAACTATGATAAGGAAGGAGGTTAAGCATGTTTGTTTTATAATTTAACACCACACAGTAATGGAATTAACAAAAGACCAGAAAAGTTTCTCTGAGACAATATTTATAACATGTTCAGTAAGTGATAAACTGATCAGATTTGAGATTTTCTATTGGGCTCAATAATTCTCCTTTACTTTGGGAAGGGGAAGATGCAGGCAGCTTCGTACAAGCCTCCCATGTGCTTTTCCTAAGCTGATCCATCTCAGACTTGTGGTTCCCCAAACCTGCTGAACCAAGATGCTAATGCGGATGAGCAGTGGCTGGAAGACAGAGCCACAGGCTCAGAAGCAGACTAGACAACCTGCATGCGATAAGCTCTGTGGTTAGCTTCGAACTGCATGCATTACGTTTGTAAAAACTGGCCCTTGTCTTAGTTGTTGGTCAGGGTTGTCCAAGAGACTCCCCAAACACAGGCGATTGCTGTTGTTATTGGTTTTCCAGCAGGGCTGGAAGGCAAGTTCCTGTTGTTGAAGACACTGTGCACTTTGAATACACGGCCCAGAAATCCGGAGATGGATCTGACACGAACGCCTCCTCCCTGGTAACTAACTTTCACGGTACCAGAAGGTGCCATGCAAGCTTCCTGCGGAGGGAAGCAACCCACAGTCCTACCCAGCTATGGTGCCTAAGATCCACACGGCGGCTGGCACCGCAGGATAACCTACGGGTGCAGTGGTGACACACACACCTCATAGACAACCAGCAGCTCTCTGGTTGAACGTAAGGCCCATTTAACAAGAGGAATGCTAAGGTCAGGAGAAAAAGTCTTCTCCAGAGAAAAGCACACCCTTTGGTTATCCAATACCAACTGGTCAGCCCAGAAAACAGACACATACAAGTGACATATAGACTGAGCAGGATTTATTATATCTTTAGGAATACACACACGCACACACACACACACACACACACACACATACACACACACACACAAAGAGAGAGAGAGAAAGAGAGAGAGAGAGAGAGAGAGAGAGAGAGAGAGAAGCAATTCCAGCAACAAGTGAGGCCAGCCTTGTCTTTTAACCTGTTTGTCTTCATGTATAGTGAAAAAACATAAAACCATCTTATTTGAGAAAGCCAGAGTTTCCATTTAGCTTCTATAAGAACTGAGGCTATTTATTCACACCTCTGCCCACACCAAATGTTTCTAAGTTTTCATGTGCTTCATTATAACAACAGTGTATCATTATAATAGGAGATGCACTGCTAAGAGATATGTGGGCTATTATCTTCCTCATGAACTGTTTTAATAGACTGAAGTTTCAACAGAGGCATCAAGATACTACAGCAATCAGATACTAGCAGGGCTTATGAGAAGGAGTACCCCGTAGCGAGTTTCCAGAGAGTCTGAGAACCGGTTAGATGGCTCCTCAGCCTACACACCCCACAGAGAGAAATTGCACAAGCAGGACTTCTTTGAAGAGAGTTGAGCTGGTTCTCATGTCTCCCCTAAAGATGAAGGGGTGTGGGAAGGGGCCTTGCTCTCACCTCAAGGGAATGAGAGAGGCTGTGTTGGGGCCATGTGAAATGCTTGATGCGTTCTCTGGCGTTAGACCAGTATCTGTTACCACTCTACAGTCCCACAAGAGTGAGGGGGCACATGGTATCAAAGGAAGCCATGGTTCCAAGAGTGGGGGAGGGCAGAGGGTGGGCTCTGCAGTGGAGACCCTTCCTGGAGGACAAGGAAATCCCAGAATGTAGGCAGTATGACCGCTGTGCAGCGCTGTGCGGACGCTGAAGCCACGGCAGGAGTACATTTAAAACAGGTGGTTAGCAGGTGAAAATCTGCTTAAAAACAGGATCCTCCTCACCAGGAGAGCATGGGCCATATAACCAACTAACAGGGCTCCTGGGAGCTTGCAGATACTAAGGGGAAGATCTAGGGAGAGGGAAGGTAGAAGGGAACTGGGAGCAGTGAAATGAGAGGAAGCTAGGGTCGAGATGAGAGAAGAATAAATTAAAAATTAAAACAAAACAAGAAACAGATTCCTCACCAGCACTAGCTGGTGAGGTGGCTAGAAGTATTAATGTAAGTGCACAGAGACCCACCAAACATCTAATAGGAGAAGCAAGAAGAATAAAGGAGGGGAGAGAGGAGGAAGAGCAAGGACTACATTACTACTTTACTCTAGAGTAACCTCAGAGAAAAGCAGGCTGAGACCCCGGTGTTGGGCTGGCTAGCTGGGGGAATACATTTTTGGGGCTGTCATGGGAAGTGTGGTACCAAGGTGAAACAGTCATCCTTTACCACACACTCTGTTCAAGTCAGGGGAGACTGCCCAGCTCTCTACTCTCTCTGTTCTCAGTTTTAAGTGTGATGTGGACAGACAGCGCAACTTGACGGGGCGGGGCACAGACGCCCCCAGACACTGCATCCCTCCACTGGCAGCTAACTAGGGAAAGATGCTAAATATCCAGGCTGAAAAGAGGGCCTGTGATACGCGGAGAAGGCACTTTAATTACGCACTCCACGGTGTCTTTTAGCTTAAGTGGCTGTAATTATTTCCGCTATCAAAGAGTAATAAGAGGCCTGGGCATGGTGGTGCACTCCTTTAATCCTGGGATTTGGGAGGCAGAGGCAGGCAGATCTCTGAGTTTAAGGCCAGCCTGGTGGATCTACAAATCCCAGGTCAGCCAGGGAAACTCGAAAGGGAGAGAGGAAGGGAGGGGGAAAAAAAGAGTAATGAAATAAAGACAGAGAAACTGCCTTTGAGAAATAAAGACAAAGAGAAGTGACATCATGGCAAGTAACTTATTTATGATTATGCCTTAAGTACATCATTGCAGCAGCAATGTATTTGTGGTATATATGTATATGCACACATGCATTCCACTAAAATTAAAATTTTTAAGTTTTTGTTTATGCTTTTAAATAAGCTGGTTTTTAAAACAAAATTATTCCTTATATAAGAAAGAATTTAAAACCCAAAATAAATTTTCTTTTCTTTTCTTTTTATTTATTTATTAAAAATTTCCACCTCCTTCCCGCTTCCCTTCTCCCTCCCCCACCCCACCTTCCCCTCCCTCTCTAGTTCTAAGAGTAGTCAGGGTTCCCTGCTCCATAGGAAGTCCAAGGTCCTCCCCACCTCCATCCAGGTCTATAAAGGTGAACATCCAAACAAACCAGGTTCCCATAAAGTCAGTCCATGCAGTAGAATCAAAACCCAGTGCCATTGTCCTTGGCTTCTCAGTCAGCCTTCATTGCCAGCCACATTCAGAGAGTCCGGTTTGATCACATGCTCCATCATTCCCAGTCCAACTGGCCTTGGTGAGCTCCCTTTAGATCAGTTCCACCGTCTCAGTGGGTGGACACATCCCTCATGGTCCTGACTTCCTTGCTCATGTTCTCCCTCCTCATACAACAATTTTTTTTCCACTGCTTGCCTCTTCTACCCACAATGACCTTTTGATGCTGATGCACTGGGTTCTGAATTACAATATATTTTTAATTTGAAGTATGATTATTGTGGAGTATTATACAGTGTGTGAAGATGTATTGCTGTGATTGCTGTAATAAAAAGTTGAATGGCCAATAGCTAGGCAGGAGAATATAGGTGGGACTTCCAGGCAGAGAGGACTTTGGGAAGAAAGGCAGAGACACCAGAGAGACATGGAGCAAGTTAAACTCATACTAAGGAGAGGTAAGAAAGTCACATGGCTGAACGTAGATTAACAGAAACAGGGTAATTTAGGTTATAAAAGCAGACTGGAAAAAAGCCTAAGCTAAGGCCAAAGTTTCATAATTAATAGCAAATCTTCATGTAGTTATTTGTGAGTTGATGGTCCAAAGGAAAGTCTGACTACATGCGGCACCCAAATGTCCACTGTAAATTCACATAGGGCCCAAGAAAGCCAACAACAACAAAGTCAGACTGGGCTTCCTGGTGACCACAGTCTCTCAGGTGGAGCCGTTGCTTGCAGCATACAAAGGCACAGCTCTTTAAGAGGCCCTGCTGTACAGTCAAGCACTTGAGCAGTCACTCAGCATTAGGTACAAATGCCTGCCTAGCATGGATACAGCAACTTCCCAGAGCTGGGATGGTTAGGTACTGCCGGGACAGTTAGACACAGCTTCTACAGGCACCAGCGCACCACGTGCTAAGTTAGCTGCACGGCAGCTGGCGTGACAATTTAAGACTTGGCTCATGTGGTCACAAGAGGGCATGGGCACACAGAAAGCCAGGTCCAGGCCAAAAAGCCTCTAAATAAGTACAGCATGTCTTAGATGTGCTTAAGTGTGAAGAAAAGAAAATGAGTACAGTCATAAAAATATAGGTAAAAAATAAAGTCTTAAAGAAAGAGTTAAGTAATTAAAATAGTGGGGCACATAAACTTGGGAAATGCACATGGTGTCTAGAT